AGAGGGGAAAAGAAGTGGTGTTTCTTGTTTCCTTATTTAAAACCCTAAAATTTTTAACTTAGAGGCAAATAAAACAAAATTATGAGTTTGGTAAAATGTGTTCATAAAAGATACACTTCAAAGTAACTAAATCAAGGCTGCTGTTCATATGCCTGCGTGCCTTTGAGAATCTTTCATGGTTCTGTTTGATCTTTCATTCCTGCATGTAAAATGCTATCTTGTTAAGAACCTTCTCTTCCTTACTCTTCTTTAGCAGGCTTCAACTACAGAAGTACAAATTGGGCCCATGAGACTGACACAAGATCCAATTCAGGTAAGATGTTCTTTCAGTTTCTTGATACAGCCAATTCAGTGTTAATAGGTGAAGAAATTGAGGTTCAACTCCTATAGTTAAACATAATGTTTTCATTGTACTTGTGCAAGGACTGTGAGATGGGTAGTTGGTGTTTTGGTTTATCTGACTGCTTGAGAAGAGATCTACAGGTAAATTAACTTGGTAAACAAGGTGCTTAGATTTCCATTAATGTCAAATGATTCCTTTTATATGTCCTGTCAATAGGACTGTGTGTGTATGTGCATTAGCAGGGAAAAAAGCTACCTCTCTGATTGTTAAAAGCTATTCAGTTCTGATATACCAAAGCAGAGAGCTCTGCTATAAAGTTTAGATACCAGGCGAGTTTTGCTGGGTTCTGCAAAACAGCACAGAGAATGGTGCTTTTGCAGGTGACCAGTCCAAGAAATCACACCACTTCCAACAATACAGGATGAAGTTCAGCTTAAGGAGCAACAGCTCTCACCAGTACTTGCTTCTGCTTCTGTACATTTTGGTCCTGTGCTAGTAAACTGATGCCAAGCATTATTTTTTTATCTTAATAGTGTCTGTTAGAGCTCTCAGATTATAGGAAATTATACCATCTTAATCTTTAACATTGCTGGCAATACAGCATTCATTTGAATTAAATTTCATGGTCACTTAACTTTGTAAAATACGAAGACGTTTAGTCACTAGTCACCTTTTCTGATTGTTGTTTTGGCTTTTTTTTTTCCATTGTCTGGCAATGAGATGAAAAACCTATGTGTGGAAGAAATGCTATTTTCAAGGAAAATAAATCATGTGTTTATGCATCATAAAGCTTTACATTTTTATTTCTGTATTAAGCATTTAGTCTTAATTATTACTTGATCTGATGAAACTATTTGTTTATATTATAAAACAACTGTGGAACAGCAGCTTCAGCAGTGGACCAGTCTTCAGTTTTGCAAAGAATTTCAACATAAAAGTGTGGAACTCTTAATGGAAAAATATTCTTCAGACAGCGATAGTCTTCAGAAAGATGGTCAAGAAGATATTGAACAAATACAAATAGTCTCAGTGCTTATGTCAGGATTTTACTTTGTAGAAACTGAATTTGCTGAAATATACCTGTTTTAGCTTCTGTAAGTGAAAATTTTTCGTATAAGAAGCGAACGTGAGCTTTTTGTTGTTTTTAAAAGTGTTTGACATTCTTCTTGGTGTCTTGTCAGGTGTGGATGTTGTTTTGTCCCTACTTTACACAAGTGAGAGTGGTGCTACCATAGAAAACTTAAGTAAAGCAGGAAGCAGACCTTAAGTGAAACCATTAACTTGAAGAGTTTTCCATAAAGACATTGCCATACACTAACCTATTTACAGTAAAGCGAAAACACTTTATGTAAACCAACCTCCTTTGTGGAACAAGCCATGTTACCTCAGCTAGTTTCAGATGAATTGCACACATACACACATTTAAAAGATGTACGTTAATCTTTTATTCCATTTTGACAATAGAGTTATGTGTTTCTCTGTGCAGTGCAAACAACTACTGAATATCGCATTTTAAATGTCTATTTGTGGGTGCTTAATCACATTCACAATTGTCTGATAAGTCAATTTAGTTTGTTAAAACAATTGCCACCAGGGCTTTTCTTAATGGTGTTTATTTTATTCTGGTGCATCTTTTATGCTGTTATCAGACACCTGCGCCAGCCTCGAAATGGCTCTATTTTTTGTTTGAGAGATGACCTTACTTGTGACTGTGACTTGCCATAAACCATTTAATAGATTCCTCACTGGATTTTATGACCGTCTGTTGGAGGGCAAATCTGGTTTGGTTTGTACTAGATCATGATCCAGGTGCTGCCAGACTTAAGGGGCAAGGGGAAGAGTCCAAAGCAAATCTGCCACCTCTGACCCTCCAAATACCCTCCCCACACACAGCTTGCACCTCTGCCCTGCAAACAGGCATGGGCTGGTTCTCAGACCTTAGAAATTACCATGATAAAAGTACATCTAAATATGTTTTCTCCAGGAGGACACAGGAGGAATGTGTCTTTTATAAATATTTAGTGCACATAAAAAAGCTGTCTTATCCTTTTGCAGAAGTGTTTACCAGGGCTGATAAAGGTTTGGATGTCCCCCCATTCGAATACTGCATTTTCTTAGGACATTCATTGGCCATCATCTCTTCCACAGCATTGACACCAAACTCCATATCTGTTGTGATGATGATGGTGATCTTCCCTGTTGAGCTACAAATGAAGCATGATGATTCACAGCATTTTACTGTTCCCTTATGCCAATTTTTGGTGTAACAAGAATTCCTCTCTAACTTAATTCACAGTCACTACCTGTTTTCCACCTTAGAACTGTCTTGCAGCGATACAACAACATAAAAATAATTATAACTTTATTTTTACATTGTAAGATGCTGTTTGTAATATTCTCAGTTTTGATGTGGTACCTTATGTGTCTGTACACAGCGGTGTCTCTTTTATTCTGAGCCCTATAAAGCAAATCTCTGTCCATTTTCTGTGTTTGTGTGGTGAACTGGGAACAAGACATGCAATAGTGGTGCCAAGCAAATAGTCTAAAGGATAGTAAAAATTCCAATGCATCCTCCAAAAATTTGAATGTCTCTACAGGATAAGTCCACAGTGCTCCTAAATCAGGGCAGCACTGAGTAAAATGATTACAGTAGCACTGGCATATTATACACCAAATAATAGCTACTCTTGTTTCTTGCCAAGAAACACATTGAATTCAAGCTTTTACCTGACAATGTTGTTTATATGGATTGTTGTATTTTTATCTTGATTTTGAGAGCATATCTTGTAATATACTTCCAGTTACATTACGTTTTGTAGTAGGCTTCGTACAAATGTTAATGAGAAAGTACGGTGGTAATGCTTTAAAAAACCTTTAAAAGTTAATATTCTTGGAAGCATTCACACACTGGTAACTAGCTACCAGTGGGAGATCAGGTGGTTTAAATAAGCTTTATTATTTTACAGTAATGGTAAATTACTGCATTTTGCAATCCTTTCTTTACAAACTGGGAATTTTGAGAGAAGGAAGCTATCAAAAAATGTGCCCTAAACCCCCTGTTTTCTGACCACATTGTACTGATAAAACTAGGAACAAAATAAAACTAAGCAGAGAGATGATTGTATCAGAGTAGGGACTTTATACAAGTATCCACAGACAAAGTCTGCAGCTCAACCACGTTACCGCTTTCCAACACTTCAATGGCTGGAAAAAAAGCAAGGATTAGGTATATTGACAACAGCTACCTTGGATGTTAATTGTCAGTAACCCAAATCTGATTCTTGTTAACTGCAATTAAACATACTCTTTCTAATAAATTGAAACTTCTTAAGTTATTTCTTAATATTTGTGGAAATTCTGAACATGTAATTTTCTTCTACAGTTTAATGAAACCTTGACTGGTTGTCCTGCCACAGTAACATTAATTGATTTTTTTGTTGCTTCTAATTCAACAATCCAGAAAGCTCAAGATAAAAGCTATGCTCACCTTTTCTGGCTTCTAGACTGATGGTATTGAATTTCATATGGTAACACCACAGCTGCACAGAGCAGCACAAATGAAAGGACCTTTCTTCTGGGCACTTGGGGCAAAATCTTGCATATTTTGCTCAGACAGGCTGTTTCAGTGGAGTCAGGGAATGACTTTGATTTATGAAATGAAAAGGATTTTGCTTTATACACAGATTATTCTCTAGCCGCTGTGTTTCTGTGCAATTTGAATAGCTGTGGATAAACCTTTGACTTTGTGAGGCTTTTCTTTTTCACAGTATACCTACACTAAATTAACCTGTTTCTTCATCTGTCACACATCGTTAGTGATCAGTTGCTATAGTTAATATGTGCAAATTGTGAACAGGAGTGTCTACATGGTTTGTGTTCCTATCTGTTTCATTTTCATGCTGGCAATAGATGTGTTATAGAGCAAGGATAAAAATTTGTTCTCTCCTAAAAATAATCTTTCTTTAATACAAGAAGCACACAAATATAGCTGGTTTTAGCCTATATTCTGTGTGTCAGTTAGCAAACAGACTTCTACGGCACACATCCTACCTGATCTTATGTGAGCAGTTGCTTAGGTGTTCAGTTGATGTTGCTGAAAACTACCTCATATATTTACATAATTAGGGACCATTTATTGGGTGAAAATGGTGATGTTTACATCAAGTTTTTTCCCTACCCAGCCCTGTCCACACCTGGTTTTCTTTCTGGTTTTGAAAGAATGTGGCTGAACTGCATTTTGTTGTACGTTAAAGGAGAAATAATGAATAAAGCTATGTTGTTTTAATTGTTTGTCACTGAAGAGTGATAACTAAGGACAGATAATTTCAGACAGTTCATTGCAGTTAAAAGTGTGTGTAGCTGGGATGGACTGATAAGAGTGGCAAAAATGTTTGAACACCTACCCACCTGCCACCCTAGGGTAGTTGCTGATTGAATTTGAACAGGAGTTAGAAGACACTCATCGTCTGACAGCTGGTTTCATTCTAAATATCCGTGCTACACAGTTAACTATTGATTTTCTGTTGATAATAACTCTTATCTATTAAGAAAGTTGTGCTTCTGCATCAGCTGTTTTACAGTTTGCCGTTCAATCTTCCCACTTCCAAGGCAGACTCAATCTTTTGTATAGCAGAAGCGCTTGTTAAGATTTGCACCATGCAGAGAACTATTTAGTACGTTTAATGTGGTGCCGGTGTTTTTGCATGCTTTGCAGGTTTTGCTGATCTTTGCAAAAGAAGACAAGCAAAGTGATGGTTTCTGGTGGGCTTGTGACAGAGCTGGATACAGGTGCAGTATTGCCCGGACTGCAGAGTCAGCGCTTGAATGTTTTCTTGATAAGCACCAGGAAATAATTGTTATAGATCACAGGAACTCCAGATATTTTGATGCGGAAGATATCTGCAGGTAACCTAAAGGACTTCATGCTTCTCTTGAACTTAGATTATGTTGTACAAAACCAAACCTCCTAATTTTGAAACCAAAAAATAGAAAAAACAAACAAACATACAAAAAATGAACCCTCAAAACTATAGTAAAATGGAAGTTTGGGGGTTGAGTCCAGAAGGTTTGAATACATCTGTAAGAGGAGAACTATATAAAAGATACACTTTTGATAAAGCTGAATTGTAGAATTGTCTCTTCAGTTCATGGGCTTCTATCAGAGCTTAAGCCAGACTTGTTGTGAAATTGTTCCTTGCTGTCTGTGCCTGCTTCTTTCCTGGGTTACTGCTGTAGCAAAGTCTGAAGCTGCAGGGCTTCAAAGGAATGTGCTTGTTTGTCCGCTGAGTCAGGCTCTTCAGAAAAATTTGCGTTACTCTTGTGGTCCACATGACTCTGTCTTAGCAGCTTGAAGGTTGCAAGCACTTAGTATGGGGATTCTTTGCTAAGATACACTGTTTCAGCTGGAGCATACATTTTGTGTCATGTACTGTATGTATTGTGTCTCTCAGTCCGTCATGAGCTGAAATTTTCCATGTTTATGACGAGCATTTTAAAGCTCAAATACTTGTACTGATGGAAGTTCTTCTAAAAGACCAATGAATAAATATAAAGACTGTTTATTCAGGACAGTGTGACATGGCTGAAAAAGATCTTTAGCCAGTAAAAGGTGAATGGAGTATTCTTCTGGTCATTGGTCATATTTTTTTCAGTTTCTCAATAATATGTAAAGTGGTAAAATTTTGTTTATCCAGCTTTTCATAAATGATAGTCTATCATATACATTTGCTATACCGTCTTTTCTTACTTGCATGCCCCAAAAGCACTTCCCACCCTCTGAAGAAAATTTTACAATATCTGGAAGGACAATGGTAAAAATGGGAGAAGGTGGTGGAGATTCTTCTTCTTTAAATTAGCTAATGAGTATTGAAAATGCATGATGTAGACTGACCTTTCTCAACCTATGCGTTCAGGGCAGTCTGCCCCAAATAAGCTGAGTAATCAGGGCAAACCTTTGCTAGGGTCTAGGGCTGGATTTGAAGAGCTTCTGTTCATGCACTGTGTTTTTGGAGCTCTTGCCTCTTCACTGCCTTGAGCAAAATCTGAAGAATATGGTAGCAAAATAGAAAGGGATTGTCTAAGTGGGGATAGGTAGGTTTTGGCAGTGTGACATCTTGTTTTCTAACCTCTATGTTGTCTTTCAGTCATTGTTTTCATTTATATTGTCTGTGAAGGTACTCAGAGTAACACTGAGAAAGCATGTGGTGTAACAGAAATTTTTGTTTCCTCAGATCTATTCGTGCCACAAAACCATCAGAGCACACTGTAATACTTGCTGTGGTTCCACGCATGTAAGTATTACTGTTTTGTGGAAGTTTTTTATTTTACTTTATAAAAATGTTATGCATAATAGTTATCTAATAACAGAAAGTACCTTACTAGCAAGCCTTATAGAACAAGTTTAATATTATTTTACCTGAAATGGATTAGTGATATTTTATGTGGCCTGTTTAAGTATTTGATAACTTTACATTTATACAGACTAGTACTATCCCTATCACCTTCAGAGGATTGTAATGTAATGGCTTGTATACTAAGAAAAATTAGAAAGCTATGTGTTGATTTCTGAAAGAAAAAGAAGTAGAAAGCTGTGTATTACTTTATAATGGAAATAACTGGATTAAATAACACGCTGTGGTTATTAGGGAACTGGGTAATGGAGTAAACTTCGATCCTGTTGGTACTAAACTCACCAGAATGTTCTCCTGAAATACTTATTCAATAATTCATACCCCATGTATTCAGGAAGAATTCTTACTGACTTAAATACATTTTTATCAAATACCTTCAAAAAAGAGACCTTTCCTGTCTTTGTTAAAACTCCTGCACACTACTGAATTGATTCTAGTTTTATGAATTTCCTAGCCCAATTAAAATATTAGGAAATAGAGTGGTAGGAGAACTATTCCTGCCAAGATTGGAAAGTAGACTAAGTTTGCTGCTGAGAAAGACTTTACAACTTGCTTCACCTTTTATTTGATAACAGTTTTTTAGGTTCTTTCTCATAGGATATCACAGGATGTCTTTTATCCTTTTCATGCTTTCTTTTTGTAATGCCCTTGTGTGTCTGTGAAGAGGCAGAGGACTTCTCTAGGGGTCCTGTCAGGTTTGCTGTAAGAATAGCTATCAGGTTGTTGTAATAGCTGGAAATACCTATAAAAGAAGACTGTAGGATCAACTTCTGTAATAGTATGATTTTGTGTATGTATTTTATGAAAACATTCTCACTGCATTCATTATGTTTAGGTAACAATGTCAAATTTATACCATCTAATTCTTAAATGTTGTGTGACCATAAAACTTACCAGTTCTGTTCAGTATCTTTGTTAATGATCTGGATGAGGGGACCAAACGCACTCTCAGTGATTTTGCAGATGACACCAAGATGGGTGGGAGCGTTGATCTGCTGGAGGGTAGGAAGGCTCCACAGAGGGATTTGGACAGCCTGGATCGAAGGGCTGAGGCCAATTGTATGAGGTTCAACAAGACAGAGTGCCGGGTCCTGCACTTGGGTCACAACAACCTCCTGTATCACTACAGGCTTGGAGAAGAGTGGCTGGAAACCTACCTGGTGGAAAAGGATCTGGGGTTGTTGGTCAACAACTGGCCAAATATGAGCCAGCAGTGTGCCCAGGTGGCCAAGAGGGCCAACGGCATCCTGGCCTGCATCAGAAATAGTGTGGCCAGCAGGACTAGGGAAGTGATTGTGCCCCTGTACTCAGCAATGGTGAGGCTGCACCTCAAATACTGTGCTCAGTTTTGGGCCCCCCACTACAAAAAAGACATTGAGGTGCTGGAGTGTTGGAGGGTCTAGAGCACAAGTCTTATGAGGAGTGGCTGAGGGGACTGGGGTTGCTTAGTCTGGAGAAAAGGAGGCTGAGGAGAGACCTTATTGTTCTCTACAGCTACCTGAAAGGAGGTTGTAGAGAGGTGGGTGTCAAGTGACAGGACAAGAGGAAGTGGCCTCAAGTTGAGCCAGGGAAGGTTTAGATTGGGTATTGGGAAAAATTTCTTCATTGAAAGGTGGTCAAGCATTGGAACAGTCTGCCCAGGGAAGAGGTTGAGTCATTGTCCCTGGAGGTATTCAAGAGACGTGTAGATGTGGCTCTTAGCGCCATGGTTTAGTGGTGGACTTGGCAGTGTTAGGTTAATGGTTGGACTTGATGATCTTAAGGGTCTTTTCCAGCCTAAATGGTTCTATGATTCTGTGATTTTCTTTTGTAGATCTGCTGACCAAGAAGAGATTTCTGTTCTTCCCCTTCTTAATGCAGGCTTTGATAGGGTATGTATAAATGACGTATTTAATATAGTAACCATTATTTCTTTGTGAATTACACGCACTTCTACTTCCTCAAATTGAAAACCATACATTTGCTTCTCTCAAAAATTTATTGATGAGAAACCAGTGGCAGTTGATGGGATATTCTTTTCAACAACATATCCAAGAAGTGTATGAAATAAGAGAATCTGTGATCTGGCTAATCCTTCCAGAATAAGCAGGAATACTGAAATTAATTTCTTGTGGTCTGGGTGGGTGGGTTTTGTTTATGGCTGCACTAAAAAAAAAACAATTATGGAGGACCTTGATTAATGTGTGCTGTATATTGCAGTGTGCTGACTATAGTCACGGGCATATCTCAGTGAGACTCAGACTGCTGCGATTCCTCTTCTAAAGGGACTGCAAGCCTAGTTCAGCTCCTCCTGATGTGAAGAAGATTTTTTTTTTTTCCATGAGGTCTGTTGTGTTGGCTTGCGACTGTTTTCTCAGGATAGATTTAGAGGCTCTCCTGTACAGGCAGTAGAAGGGAAGATAACTGTTCATGCTATTTCTCAAAACAGCTTTGTAGGAGAGAGCAGAAAGGCAGGAGTTCCCAGCTCTGAAAATATAGGTTCAGTTCCTGACCTTCTTCCAACTTTTGTGTGAGTGGCTTTGGATGAATATTAATGTTATGTTAATGTAATATAAATCAGCTGTAGTATTAAAGTTAGCTGTTTATAAGGAAGGTTATGTATTGAAGTGATAGTAGCACATCAGTGGACACTGTTGTTAGGGAGAATTAACTGTATATTGTTAGGACAATTAACTGTAGTAAGGAAAATCAGAGAAGGAAGGGAATTAACCACAGCAGAATCTCATGCTAATATGCTCATACAGAGTCCGGTATCTGAGCTAACTCATATTTAGCTCGAGTTTCTATACAAAGCAGAACATGCACCAGAGTCACCATTTGCAGACCATCTTCAAAAAGAGGTAATAGATCTTGCCTCTCTTGCAGGAGTGATGTTGGGGAAAAAGCATTAAAGGCAAAAGCATTATCTAATGCATAAAATGCATTTAGATGCTCCAAAAATCAGAGAAGTTAGGGCTAAGAGAAAGGTCAGACCAAGAATGCCAGTGCTTCTTAATGTAGTTTTCTCCCTTTCCCACTCTCTCTCTCAAAAAAAAAAAAAAGTTTATATTTTTCAAATAAATCTTTTTTTCTTCTCAAATCTGCTGTTTCATTTAAAAACAGTGCAGGGCAATATGTTTTGTGGACTAGATTGTAACTGTAGGTGTAGTACAGAGTACAGCCACAGGAGAGACTCTGCGGCTCTGAGACACAACTCAGTGGCACACTGTCTGCTTAGAAAGTAAAATATTTTTGCACCTGACAGCTGCTCGAACCATTCCATCTAGCTGTCCACCACAGCAGGGTGGACATGGATATTATTTCTGCTTGGATAAGGTTCAGTAGGGACTAAATCCATTAACACAGAAAACACATAGACACACTCTTCCTCAGCAGCAAAATGAAATTTATTTTTGGAAAATCATATCTGTTTCTCTTCATTATTTTTATTTTTACAGTCCAACCTTTCTGGTGGCTTTATTTTGTATTATCACTGTTCATGGTATCAGCATTTGCCCTATTTTTGCTCATCATCTTCCTCCTCTTCCCTAGACAAAACACTGACTGCAATCTCTCTGTCTGGTGGTGTCTGTCTTCTAAATGCACCTTCAGCTTGATTAGTAAAGAGTTTGAGCTTCTAGCCAATTCATCTGTCACCTTTTTGTAGAGCTTTGTAAACAAAACCAGACTTTTTACATCAGGTTTGGATCTAAAGATTCCAGAGAACTCCTTCAATCTCTTTGGGGGGATACTCTTGTGAATAACCATATTTTTTGTGCAGTGAATAGCTGATTATTCTACTTTAAAACGTTCTGTTGCCTTCATGTGTACTTACGTTAGAGTAATATATTTCTATGTTTATGTGTACCTATAATATATACCTTAAGTAGTGCTAAGAATCACTTTTCATTTATTCTAATGAAATCAGTGATGATTGATCACTATCTAGATCTGGATCACTATGCTTACTAAAAGTTGTTATGAACAGAGAGAGATTTTGTGAGTCTTTTCTGTTAATTTATAAATTCCTTTGGCATTTTTCTTTATGCTGAGTTATTTCTGGAATTTTTCCTCTTTCTCAAGAAAGTCTATTTTATTACATCTTCTGATTTTTTTTCCCTGTATCATTAAAAGCTTTTGTATTTGTGTACTAATGGTGTTGCTAATGCAGTACATTTATTACACTGATTTTTTTTTTTTTTTTTTCTCTCAGCATCATAAATCTAGTAGTGATGGCCTACTTAGTATGGACTAATTTAAATAAGTGATCTGGCTTCCTGACTGACTTTTAACTACGATTCAAATTAGCAAACAGAGGACCTTAACATTTGTAGTTACTCAATTACAATCTTGTATTTTGAACGTCACTCTTTTCCTAAACATATGTTCATTTTCATTGACTCGTTACTATTAAAACTTTCTGGTTTGCAACAAAGTAAATCTTTAATATTAAACCTAGTACTTCTTGCTAAGCAGGAAGAATGATGCATTCCTACTAGTTGATGACTCTTGTGGCTTGTGTCAAATTCTGTAGAGAATGATAATGAAGTAAAATGTAATTTAAGACTATATGTTAGTTAAATCAAAACATAGTGTGTACATACTAAACTTTTTTAAAAGAGAGTATTGTTGTCTGCCTTCTAATATGGGAGAGTTAATAGATCTTCATCTTCTTGTGCCTCGTTTAGATGCACAGAATAGAAAAAGCTGCTTTTTTCAGGTCCCAATTGATTTCTAAGCTTTGAGGGAGGCAGTGAATGAATGGCATTAGTACTATAAACTTAAATAAAGAGATTATGTACATCTGCAGAAGACTATACAGCAGTTAAGAGCAGGTTGAGCACTTCAACAAGCTGCAATTCTTGGTTCTTAGCCAAAGCTCTCTTAGCTGAGATAGTCGTTGATATTTGTAAACAGCAGTGGTTAAATTTTGTCAGTAAATAGCACTACCTTAAGATTTGGTTTATAAAGAGCTTTAGTATGTCATAGTAAGTTTAGTTTGTAAAAGAGCTTGCAATCCTTGTTAAATTGTATAGTATTGATATAGCACTGCCATATTTTAATATTTAAAAGAGCACCCTAAAACTCAAAATCTAAATCTACAGTGCTTGGGAAGACAAGTTTGTTTGAAGGCAGCTTGTTATGCAAAAACACAACATAATTTGCACATCTACTTCTGCCAACTTGGTATTGTGCATTTTGGTTTCCCATATGTTCATTTACTGTGTGAAGCAAGAGTTCCAGTAATATTTTGAGATCGTAACATTAAGGAGTGAAGCAGACCCATGTCAATACTTACCTGTAATTTTACAGTTTTACATTTTGCTGGCAACATGGGATTAAACCATTGGTCCCCAAAACACAATTTGTCATACTCAATAGAAGTGTAGATTTCTTAAAAGCCATTCTTTGCTCCTCAGAGGTTTGAGTGCTGCCTCTTGACTCTGCATGCAGCTGTGCTTTGAGAACTACTGACAGCACAGGGTATTCTCTGTGAAAACTAAAGTCACTGCATGTATTTCTAAAGGAGAGATTGAGCACTTCGTAGCAGAAGTTTACTAATGACCAGTAAAGTTTAACTGAAGTCAGAGAATCTGCTTCTTTTGTATCAACATACAGTTTCTGATTTCAGAAGAACCAAGCACAAGACCTTTCAGCTTACCACCTTTTCCTAACAAAGAGAGGACATTTTCTCCCATCTGGAGTATAAGTTTGTTAACTGTTGTCAGCATGCTCTTTACTTTTTATACTTCTGCACTTCTGAATTCACAGTGACAGCTCAGTGCGATTACATGTGGAGCAAAGTTTCTTCACTTTCTGAGCTTCAGCTGCAATATTTGCTTGAAAACAAATGAAATGAAAAATGTCATTAGTATTTTTTTTCTTTTTTCTAGCATGAGTGTTTTGTGTCTCTAAGGTATTCCATTTCCATTCTGAATTAAGGATAGATGATCAAAATGCAACATCAAGGCAATACTAGTTTTGTGTGAGACTGTCTTTGGATATTTTAGATTATCTGTTTCTAACTGGGTTGCTAAAACCAAATGGGAAAATACACAGTTGAGGTTTTAGCATATTTTTGTACTTACTATGTATTTAGATAGCCATGTTGTCTTAAGAACTAGAGAGCCATTCCTGGGGAAAAGATGATTACTGGACACAAAAGGTACAATTAAAGCTTTTTATTTCTACAGAATCACAGGATGGTTGAGGTTGGAAGGGATCTCTGAAGGTCATCTTGCCCAACCTCCCTGCTCAAGCAGGACCCCCTAAAACAGGTTGCCCAGGACCATGCTCACACAACTTTTGGAGATACACAAAATTGGAGACTCTGCAGCCTCCCTGGGCAACCTGTTCCATTGCTCAGTCACCCTCACAGTAGAAAAAGTGTTTCCTGATGTTCAGAGGGAACCTCCTGTGTTTGTGCCCATTGCCTCTGGTCCTGTCACTGGGCATCACTGGAAAAAAGCTGGCTCTGTCTTCTTACACTCTCTCTTCAGATATTTGTATAGCCTGCTGACATCACCCCTTGAGCCTTCTCTTCTCAGGCTGAGCGGTCCCAGCTCTCTCAGCCTTTCCTCGCAGGAGAGATGCTTTGTCACCTTCTTGGCCCTTTGCTGGACTTGTGCCAGCTCTATAAGGTTAGAGTTTTAGATGCAGAAACAGAAATAACAGTTTAAAACCATTCCAATCTATTTCATGCACTCTTGGTTTGTCTTCCAGCAATTCATGGAGAATAGCAGCATAACTGCTTGTTACAATGAACTGGTTCAAATAGAACATGGGGAAGTGCGATCTCAGTTCAAATTACGGTATGTAGAAGTGTAAGAAACTGCAAACATTAATGGCTTGGTCCACATAAATGTATCAGGTTACTTTCTGCTTCTTCCCAGCTACGCATATATGTGCTTTGCATCCGTATGTTAACTAATATACTGTGCCCTTATTTCCTTCTGGTATTTTGTAAAGGACAAATTTAAGTGCCTTAGTAACTGGTACCCTGGGAAGGTTTGATCTAGGTATGTTTCATTCACTGGTGGTTTAAATGATGCCTTTCCTTAATGCAAAATGCAGTACATGTCCTTTATTCTGATACTTGCTTGTGTCCCATAGGTCTTGAGGTGCCCATATGAATTTGGCAACATTCTAGCAGCCATTACTACCAGCATTACAGTCAGGGCAAGATCCTCTAGCAGAAATACCGCATAACAACAACTTCGGCTCATTTAATCGTGAGAGTAGCATTTTTTAAATGTTGTCTTGTGTGTAAGGTTTATGGGCTGCAAATTTAAATGACAATAAAACTTCACAAAGTTATTCTTTATCTCAAGTGTGTGAGATTTCATATCTGATAGTCTGAGCTGAACACAATCTCGATCTCTCTCTTTCATACCCTGAGTTTTTATTTTCTTGCTTGGGCCAGACTTGGCAGATCAGGAGCACAGTTTTTTATCTTAGTGAGAAATTAAATGACTTTCATTCCCTATCATTTTTTGTTTAATGTGACTAATTTTGTACTTAATACAGGTGCTTCTACTACATGTATATATATTTGCAATTCTACTATATGGAAAAAAAAACCCAAAAACCTCCTTGAAGTTGAGTGTCATGCAGAGAAGGCGTAGTTCCCTTGGTGTCATTAATTAGTTCCAGTTCCATCTACAGAAAATAGTACCACTTCTCTACAGTTTTCAGTGTCTCTGTTTAAAAAGTAGATTTTCCTAGGATTTTCTTTGCAAACTGATCCCAAAATGACTTCATGTTCAAGTGACTACGTGTTTCTGCTTGCCGAATGCAGGTACAGGGGAAAAAGAATTTGAGCTCACACAATTTTAATAGATGTTTTCCAAAACTTGGCAAGAAAATAAAGCAGCTGTGAAATTTTAGAAGTTAATTAGGTCTTATGGTGGTCCTGACTTGGTTTGTTGTTCAGTTGTCAATGCAACATGAAATGAGCGACTTCTGAATTAAGCCAGCGTAGATCAGAAACGTTAGTTTTATATAGAAAGATTAAATTGTCATTCATACACACAATCCTTGTAGTTTAGGTTTCACTTCAAGCACAAGACACAAATACAGTGTGAGCATTTCTACGTGAGTAGTATCAATTATGAATGCAGATAATGCAGGTATTCAATTACTTTTTTGCCTCTGTCTTCACTGGCAAGTGCTCAAGCCACACCACCCAAGTTGCAGAAGGAAAAGACAAGGACTGGGAGAATGAAGAACCACCTACTGTAGGAGAAGATCAGGTTTGAGACCATCTAAAGAACCTGAAGGTGCGCAAGTCCATGGCACCTGATGAGATACATCCACAGGTCTTGAGGGAACTGGCAGGGGAAGTTGCCAAGCCACTATCCATAATATTGTTGCAAAAGCCACTATCCATAATATTTGAGAAATCGTGGCACTCTGGTGAAGTTCCCACAGACTGGAAAAGGGGAAACATAACCCTCATTTGTAAAACAGGAAATGAGGAAGATCTGGGAAACTACAGGCTGGTCAGTCTCACCTCTGTGCCTGGCAAGATCATGGAGTAGATCCTTCTGGAAACTATCCTAAGGTCCATGGAAAACAAAGAGGTGGTTGGTGACAGCCAGCATGCCTTCATTAAGAACAAATCATGCCTGACAAATTTGGTGGCCTTCTAGAAGGGGGGTTACAGCATTGGTGGATAAGGTAGATAAGGGAAGAGCAACTGACATCATCTGCCTGGATTTGTTCGAAGCCTTTGACACTCTCCTACATGACATCCTTGTCTCTAAATTGGAGAGATGTGGATTTGATGGAAGGACCACTCACTGGATAAGGAATTGTCTGGATGGTCGCACTCAAAGAGTTGTGGTCAATGGCTTAATGTCCAAGTGGAGACCAGTGACGAGTGGCATTCCACAGGGGTTTGTACTGGGACTGGTGGTGTTTAACATCTTTGTTGGATATGTGGCCAGTGGGATTGAGTGCACCCTCAGCAAGTTTGATGACAACACCAAGCTGTGTGGTGTGGTCGACGTGCTGGAGGGAAGGGATGCCATCCAGAGGGACCTTGACAGGCTTGAGAGGGGGGGCCATGAAACAAGGCCAAGTGCAAGGTCCTGCACGTGGGTTGAGGCAATTCCAAGTACAAATACAGGCTGGGTGGAGAATGGATTGAGAGCAGGCCTGAGGAGAAGGACTTGGGGCTGTTGGTTGATGAGAAGCTCAGTGTGACCTGGCAATGTGCATTTGCAGTCCGGAGAGACAACCGTATCCTGGGCTACATCCAAAAGAAGCATGACCAGCAGGTGGAGGGAGGTGATTCTTCCCCTTTACTTTGCTCTCGTGAGGCCCCACCTGGAGTACTGTGTTCAGCTCTGGAGTCCTCAGCACAGGAAGGACATGGACCTGTCGGAGTGAGACCAGAGGAGGGACACGAAGATGATCCGAGGGCTGGAGAACCTCCAATGGACTGAGAAAGTTGGGGTTGTTCGGCCTGGACAAGAGAAGGCTCTGAGGAGACCTTACAGCAGCCTTACAGTACCTAAAGGGGGCCTACAGGAGAGATGGGGAGGCACTCTGTGTCAGGGAGTGTAGTGATAGGATGAGGGGTAATGGTTTTAAGCTGCAAGAGGGTAGATTTAGATGATATACAGGGAGATACATTTTTTTACTGTGAGGGTGGTGAGACACTGGAACAGGTTGCCCAGGGAAGCTGTGGATGCCCCATCCCTGGAGGTGTTCAGGGCCAGGCTGGATGAGGCTTTGAGCAACCTGGTCTAGTGGACGGTTGGAACTAGGTGATCTTTAAGGTTCCTTCCACCCCAAACCATTCTATGATTCTATGATAATTAAAACTTCAACACAGGGAGTTTGATTCATATTGGCTACCCTATTTTTCTGCAAGTTTATTTATAGCAATCACCAAAAAAATATTAATTAAAATTGAAAGGAAACAATGTTAGTCCCCAGCGGCATTTCATCTACTGGCAGTTCTTTTATTCATATTGTTTATGGAAACAGCAGTATACCACCCACTTGTAATTCTGTTTGCTTTTGCTCTCTTGAATGTAGTTACATAAACTGTGAGCCTACTTCCCTTTAATTTATGTAAATAGTAACATTATATAAAATGTATTCTGTGCTATCATGTCTTTGACAATATTGACAATATAATTATATATATACATATA